AACTAATACGCGTTTGACTATAAGGTAATGTACTTATTAACTACAGAAGGTGCCAGTTACTGTTGCATTCGTCAACTTCAATATAAATCGTTAAATTCAGTATAATCAATGGGCCTATTATGCCTTTAACACTAACAGTCAACAAATCTATCTCTTGAGGGTCAAATCTTGAGGGTCAAATCTTGAGGGTCAAATCTTGAGGGTCTCTTGAGGGTCAAATCTATCCTCCTCTTGAGGGTCAAATGGTTATCAGACACTGACTCTTCGCACGTCAGCGAAAAGTACATTTCATGGTCCTTTCAATAAAGTGATAAAAATGGTAGGTCAGCACTGAAACAAAAGTCTTTCACTCGGTCCATTTGACCATGTTCTCAAAAAATGTCTGATATCCGACCTTTCCCCCACTGCCCTTTGACCTGTGACCTCCAATTTCACGCTGGTGATGTGTAATGAAGAGAATATTGGCATAAAAAGGGAAAGTTAATTAAAAGGAAAAAGTCATTAAGGACAGTGGAAAACGACCGGCTAGCCTAAGCTAGAGAATGTCCGGCAGGTCTTAGAGAGCAATCAATCTTAGGGACGATTAGGATTAGTCGTGCTAGGGTGGTCAGCCACGTAGAACGGTCATTTCGACCGTCCTAAAGCATTCCATTAAAACACTCTGAAAACTCGCCGTCCAGGGACGTAGCGAGGGCCAATGCTGACGTCAGATAGCGGGCTAATGATCTCAAAAAAGAGAATAAATACCGTCGTACTCGACTCTAGAAGATAGTTCCCGTACGGCAGCGTCTCGTAAGTATTAATAGGTCTATTGTATGAGTGCTCATCGTATTTGTGTCTCTCTCTCTTTAAACTATTTTGAAGCATTGTATTTTGTTTATTTACGTTGCTACCCTCTGTTTTTCATACACATCCACTCTGTTGGTTGTTCTGTGAGAAACACGTTAGTGCGAAACATACTCTGTACGTGAGAGAGACGGAGCACTTTAGCTAAGGATACGTAGACCATTGATACATTTGTAACTAACCATCTGTAGACACGCAGGCAAGGCGTGCACTGTATTACGTTTTATCTAACACGACGAAACCCCTGTATGTTTGTTGCATTTAATTGGTGATAGAAGTAAATAGATATATATATATTGTTGTACGTACATGTCTGGTTTGTCTATCATTCTATGCTAGCCTCAGGGTAATTAATCTATAATTACCCGCACCAAGCAGGACCTGTGGTTTTAGAACATCGCATGGTATATACACTATACGTCACGCACACACACACACACACACACCCGACAGTACACGTATATACGACACGAGAAACTAATCATTACAGATGGGTTTCCTCCCCATCACACTATACATCGAATATTAAAGGCATAATAGGCCTTTAATTATGAAAATTTGAGGAATGCTACAGTAACTGGCACCTTGTGTAGTTAATAAGTACATTACCTTATAGCCAAACGCGTATTAGTTTGTCCAATATCACTGCTAATTACTAAGAAATGTGTAATTGATCCGTAAATCTGGTAATCTGGCGTCAACGCTAAATTGGTTGCCAAGCAAAATAGCCTCGAATTCGGTTAGGTGACGTCACATGTTGCTACGGGTGTTGAGCAGAGAATTGTTTGTCCCGGGATGCTTATAACGACTAATGAGCTAGTAGAATGTATCTCTGGGTGTATTCTGGGTATTGAGGCACAAGTAAATAACCGTGGGTGCTAATGAACGAGTACCCTCATGTCTTCAATTTCGGACACAGGTGTATTCGTTTGACCAATATACGTAAATACGCGTAGTGCCGTCTGCTTTCCATGTTTAATCTGTGGCCGTGGATAGTCCGCGATCCCCCCATAGTGTTGGCCCCCTCAACAGCCTACTTCATTATCACGAGCGTCTGTGATTCATACGTGGATTCCACGTTCATTACAATCAGAGCTACTGTTACGTATACAGTTACGGTACTGTACTATCGCTAGCATTGCGTACGCCCGAGCATGCGTGCGAAAATGTCCGGTGCACTATAAATCTGTATCACACCCGTTTCGCCGTATGCGGTTTCGAAACTGTAAACAAGTCGGTCAACTGATTTCTTGGACTGCATATTTCAATTAGACATTTCTTAGTAACCAGCAGTGATATTGGACAAACTAATACGCATTTGGCTATAAGGTAATGTACTTATTAACTACACAAGGTCCCAGTTACTGTAGCATTCATCAACTTTGCATAATCAAAGCCTATTATTCCTTTAAGAGTGTAGGTCGAGCCGTTGAGATTTGTGCCGCAATTCCGTATTTCCTCCTATACCTTAAGTTAAGGGGGAAATATTCCCCCTCCATTGACACATCTTGACCTTTGACCCTTGACCCCCCAAATTCGACATCCCGAGTCCTTTTCGCAATCTCCCCGACGTCCCGAATATTAAGACCGTACGTCGAGCAGTTAAGATTTGTGCCATAACTGTTGATGGACGCACGCACGGATGGACGGACGCTCATGCGATTCTACAAGCTGCATCTGACCATGTCAGATGAACTAACAAGTGCCGCGGAGCGACAGCGCTCATCTAATGTCTACTGCGGTGACTCTGTGGTG